CCCCTCCCCGCGGAGTTCTACAACATCATCCTCCACGCCCTGGTCCGTCTCCACCGCCACGACGACGCCATCCGCTTCTACGGCGAGATGACCAGCGTCCACCGCGTCGCCCCGGATGCCTACACCTTCAACATACTCATCAACAGCTCCTGCCGTGTCGAAGGCGTCGATGCCGCCATGCGGTGGTTTGAGGAGATGCGGCGACGGAGCTGTGCGCCGACTGGTGTGAGCTTCAACACTCTTATGCGCGGTTTCTTCAGAGAAGCAAGGTACAAGGAAGGCCTTAAGGTTGCTCACGAGATGCTGCAACTTGGGGCCGGGTTGTCGGTTGCTTCCATGGAGATTTTGATCGGTGGGTTGTGCCGTGGAGGCGACGCTTTGAAGGCAGCAGAGGTGTTTGCGGAGTTTTTGGTGGATGCGGTGGTGCCGGAAGGGTTTGATTGCTTGGATCTGGTTGAATCCCTGTGCCATGTTGGAAGGATGGACAAAGCAGTGGAAGTGGTGGGGTTGGTATTGGAGAGGAACAGGGCATCCTGCTTGAGCGTCCCTGCCGGTGTAACGGTTCTGGACTGCTTGATGAAGGCGGGGAAGCTGGATGATGTGTGCCGGTTGATGGGAAGGATGGTTGGGGAGGGGATTGTACCAGATACCATATCTTGTAACTGTATCTTCGAGGCACTTTGTGAAGCTGGGCGGACTTCTGATGCAAACAAGCTGAGGATTCTGGCTAAGGAGAAGGGTTTTCAGGCTGATCGTGTGACTTATAGCATGCTGGTGCAGGGGTTTGGTAGGCAAGGGAGGGTGAAGGAAGGCGAGACTGTGTTGGATGAGATGCTTGATTTAGGGTTTATACCAAACATTGTGGCTTACAATAGGCTTCTTGATGGCTTACATGTGCGGAGATCTTTGGAATAACAAGTGAACTCCTCTAGGCATGTGTATGCTCCAAACATTTTTTTGGCCACGTGGAAGCATCAAACTGCAAGAAGTCAGAGAGTTGCTGCTTAGAATTCATGCGCACAGACTTTTGGAGGAACATAAAACAAAACAAGGGATAGTCGGATAGATGTCAGTTGAGATGAGCGGTGGTCACAATTGCACTGACAGAAGTTGCGAAATTCCAGTGATTCAAATGAGGTATTGTTTTGATTATGCTCTTTAGTTCGAACATTAGTATTGATTTTGTTGTCTGCACACATTTTTGCTTCTTAGTTAAAGTACCATTAGTCATTGTCTTGGACTCGTGGTATCTGTAAACAGTTATGTGATTCACTGATTTGTTCGTCCTCCTACGGGATCTATATTTACTTTGTTCGTCAAGGATGCAATCGGCCAACCCGCCAAGCCTGCATATAGCTATACCATTTTTTGGAACGGATATATAACTATACTTAAAGTCAACTTAGTGCAATTCCCCATTTGAAATTAGCATAAGGTTAGGTATACATAAATGTGGGCTTTGCGGGTTGCCTTCTTGCATTCGTAATTATCACTTGCCTGGACTCCTAGTAAGCAAGATACAAAAAGGTTTGGGTCTTCTTGGGTGTTTCTCCTCTCGATTCTGGTAAATTATCAATTGATGTCCTAGTTAATACTTGCAACAGTTCTGGATCTGACAAGTCACAACCTCCATCAGCGGGAACCCATGTTTTCTCGTATTGATTTAATCAGTATCTTTTTTTATTTATAACCTTGGTTGGTTGCAATGTTGTATCAGTGCTGCGCATTGGCCAGTCGACACTTCAAATGTAACCATACTTGTTACTCAATTGTGTGACATATTGTGCTGTTTGAAGTGTACAGTATTCGAGTGCATGTTTTGCTCATTTCTTTAGACTCTAATTAATTCATCTTTGTTTACCAGGTTTGAACTGTACAGGATCATGTTTTTGTATAGCATTTTCCTAACATCTCTCAGACCAAGTGGTACTAAGATCTTGTTGATAGAAAATGCCTTGTGCCATCTGGTGATTTAAAATCTGCACATTAGCAGGGCTGAATGATTTTGCAGGGGAGCTACCTTAACATTCTCGTCCCTTATGTCCAGTGCCCAGATATTGTAGCTTTCTGGTATCAACTAACTGGAGAGTTTCGATATTTGGACATTAGACAGGAATGGTAACCATAAGGCAGAGATGAATAGTCTCGTTAAGGAGCTATCTTCCCGTAACTCCCCAAGCTGCATGAGTTGGAGCGTTATAATACCTGGAGATTGTAGACATAGGGAAGACATATGACATCTTCCAAAGGTCATATCCCTTGGCTTCTAGCATCCAATCGATCACGAAACTTATAGGATGGAACACTATACAAGAAGATAATTTCCGGGCCTGTAAAGCATACTGGAAGATGCACTTCTCAGCATGTTACAGAAGCTGATGGGTTGTTTCCCTTTCAAACATAACCAGGATTGGGCGATTGGCAAGTCTGGTAAGGTTAGTGATCCTGTTTAAGAACTCCGAGGAATATCTGGGAAGTCAGGCGAACTGGTATTGCTTGCAAATAAATCACTGCTTCTGCTTACTTGTCTCCCCATCCACTTCAATATATTTTACGGATCTTGACCAGCAGGAGAATTTGTTGTTTTCCGATTATCAAAGATCAATAGTGTATCACACTACCATGAACCAATTTGTTTTTAATGCTAATGCCCTTTTGTCACACTACCTATGGTCATTTTACAGTACGAAATATTTTTCGGAAGTTTATTCTATTTTTTTCTTAGTTAGCTATTTTTCTCCTTTTTGTCCTTTGTTCTGTGGGCACAAGCGGCTGCCAATGATGCCGGAATTGCTGCTCTAGGAGGCTAGGAGCAAGGTAGTCATGTATATGGAATTGGTAGCTTATTGTCTTCAACATATACTCCCTCTTTTCCTAAATGTAAGTCTTTTAAGAGATTCCAATATAGACTACATACGGAACAAACTGAGTAAATCTACAGTCTAAAATATGACTACGTATAGGCTAGGAGCAAGGTTCTTAAGTCGTGGATATGGAATTGGTAGCTTATTGTCTTCAAGATATACTCAATATCAATCAATATATTGGGTGATACGTTCGAGTATCAGAGTTCAAAAGTTATTTATAATTTCGACTTAAGCAATGACTTCCAAGTGTCACCCTGATAGTGACGCATGCATACATCATGCAGTTTATAGTTTCCTGTTGTCACGGGGGACTATAAAATGCTAGCATACAGCTTCTCCTTAATCTGAACTGAGAGTACGCCATGTGCTGAGAATGTGCCATTTGTTAACCACGAGATCCACCACTGTAATGAACGGACGGACGGACGGCTGGCTCGTTCAGAGGCTTTATTGTATCCTCTGCGGCAGTGAAGCACCACCTATCCGAAGCCAAGCCATCATGAAGCATCTCCATTCTGTATGCTTTCTCCTATTCTCTTACACTTACCTCCTACTATGCCCCGTCATGCCGGTGTGAAGCTGAAGCACTTGTGAAGTGGAAGGCTAGCTTGGCGAGTGCCGATGACTCCTTTGGGTCATGGTCGATGGCCAACTCCACCAGCCTTTGCAGGTGGATGCACATCACCTGCGACTCTGCCGGGCACATCATAGAGCTCATCATTTTCGAAGCAAGTCTGAGTGGCACACTTGACGAGTTCGACTTCTCCGCCTTTCCCCAGCTGAAGTTTCTCTACCTGTCCGACACTGGTCTGTACGGAACAATTCCAGCAGGGATTGGCAACCTGACGAGTTTGGTCAGGTTAGTGATTTCCAGCAACCCATATTTGAGGGGCGCCATTCCACGCAGCATTGGCCAGCTGAAGCACCTTGCTGTATTGCGGCTAACCTTTTTGGGGCTCAGTGCCACGCTGCCTGAAGAGGTAGGTAATTTGACGGCCTTGGAGGATCTCAATCTTAGTTTCGTTACTTTGACTGGACCAATCCCACCAACAATTGGGATGCTTGGGAAGCTCCAGGAGCTGAGACTGGTAGGTAACAATCTTACAGGGAGCATACCAATGGAGATTGGAAACATGACAGAGCTGCAGACCATGTTCCTTCAGGGTAATTATTTGGAAGGGCAGCTGCCAGGTACCATCTCTCATCTGGTAAACTCCAGTCTTTGGATGTGTCTACAAATCAGCTGGTAGGACACATCTTCCCCGAGCTTGGGAATAGCAGCTTCCTGAAATTGGGCGGAATAAGCGTAGCGTATAACAACTTCTCTGGGATGTTCCCATCATCCATTTGTGTAGGAGGAGGGCTGGTTATGATCAGTGCTGAATACAATGGATTTACTGGCTTTCAACATCAGGCCTTTCGAAACTGCACAACCCTGCACTATGTTGACTTCACGGCAAACAACATTGTTGCAGAGCTAAGGGGCATTTTTAGTGAGCATCCAGGAGAGCTGACCAGCATGGCTTTCAGTCAGAATCAGCTGCATGGCACGCTTCTGACAGGTCGGGGTGAGTCATTCCTTTGAACTGTACTGATTTAAACCTGCTAGACTTATCGAACAATGCCTTACATGGAGGTCTCCCCAAGTGTTTCTGGGACATACCAAGTTTGCAATTCATAGATCTGTCCAGCAACTCTTTCAGTGGTGTAGTTCCATTCTCGAAGACATGTCAAGATAATCTTAAGTATCTACTCCTAGCCAATAACCATTTTAGGGGTACCTTCCCTTCGGGTCTTAAGAAATGCAAAAACCTTACTACTCTAGATCTTGGAGGCAATAATTTTTCTGGTACAATACCTTCTTGGGTAAGCATGAGCTTGCCTGAACTCAACTTTCTTCGATTGTCATCAAACATGTTTGACGGCATCATACCCCACCAGATATTACAGTTCCGCAAACTCCAGGTATTGGACTTGTCAGGAAACAAGCTCACTGGACCCGTTCCAGACGATTTTACAAATTTTACTGGCATGGCAGAACAGAAAAACGTTGACTCCACATACCCTGATCGCAGTAGTTATCAAGCATAGATTCACATAATTTGGAAGAATGTAGATTATGTTTACCATCTGATGATAGCCATGGCGGGTATCGACTTGTCTGGCAACTCTCTTTCGCAAGAGATCCCAAATGGGCTCACAACCCTTCTTGGAGTCAGGTACCTGAACCTTTCAGGAAATCATTTCTCAGGCTGTATTCCGGAAGACATTGGCAATCTAGTACTACTGGAATCCTTGGACCTTTCTGGGAACCAACTCTCGGGGAAAATTCCTCAAAGCTTGGCAGCTTTGAAGAGCATCAGTGTGCTGAACCTCTCAACCAACGAGTTATCAGGGAGGATACCTACGGGCGATCAGCTGCGGACACTCACAGATCCGTCCATATACAGTAATAATCCTGGGCTATGCGGGGTTCCGTTGGAAGACTGCATAAACTCCTCGACACCGACGCAAACTGAAAAAAGCCAGGATGAAGATAGAGAGGCACTCTGGCTGTATTGCTTCGTGGCTGCTGGGTTCATCTTTGGGTTCTGGCTGTACTGGGGCATCTTCTTATTTCGCAGCGAGACATGGAGGTGTGCATTCTATCAGTATGTGGACAACATGCAAGCAAAGGCAACCAAGAAGATGTACAGCTGCATGTCGTGCTTCCAGGCCAGCGGCTCTGAATGATGAAGTGCATTGCTTGTTATTGAAGTAATGTTGTATCGCGTCCCATATCGAGCATGTGTGTAATATTTCCTTTCCTTTGTTAGTTGGACAGTTGGTGCTAAAAGTACTTGCTAGTAATTGGATGTTATTCAAGTTTTGTGGCGCTGAAACCTACTGTTTTCAGATTTGATTGTTTGGTAGCTAAGGCTATTTGGAGTGAAATCAGTTAGTCATAATTTTGAATCTGTTGTACCTTGTTTTTTGGTTAGTAACTGTAGACTTGCTGTTTTGAGCTCCTGTTGTGCCGCCATTTTGTGGAGTTCCTGGATAAATGTGGGAATGATATATTGTGTTTAGCTCTCAACAAATGGATCAATGAATGTCAATCAGTGGGTCGGTAATCATGAATCTGGTAAATAAAAACTGAAGCGTAATATGTCAATTTTGCTGGTTTGCGCATCAATTTGATCAACCAAAGCGGCCTGCATTTGATGCAGGCCGTGTGTTGATTGTGCAGATGAAGGCGCTCACCATACTGGTAGGTTGCGAGCTCTCGATTCTGATTACTGATTCCGGGAGAGGCTCTGATGAGCATAGCATCTGAAACGACTGCTGATTGCAATGTCCCCGTTGCCTCCGGCGTGAGAAAAGATACACCGTAGGAGGAACAAAGTGAGATGGAAACTTTTCTGCGGTTTTTCTTTTCAATAGTGTTCAACGGGCCACGGACCATAGAGCAGCGGGATCGATATCTGCTGCTGGGCTCAGCCCATCTCTGCCACACCTCATATACTGCTCTCAGTGTACAGAGTCTCCTTCCCTATTACTTTTCGGAAATGTTAACGCCCACACCCGTGGGCGTCTGCAGATCGCCCACACGCCTCCGCCATCACTCATTTTGCCACGTATGAATACATGACATCAGCAGAAATCTTTTTGGTTTTTGGCTTAAAAATGTTTTATCTCCTAAATAAAAAAGCGAACTAAAAATCCGTTTTCACCATTAAATCCGTCTCGACGAGATCTTCAATACTAGAACCCATGTTGATATGTTTCGACAAAATTTTTTTTTGCCCAGAAGTTGCCATGATGTTTACACTATAGTTGCCATAGTGCTTAAACTAAAGTTGCCATGTGGCAATTTTAGTTTGTAGATCATGACAATTTTAATTTTTTTATGATGGCAATTCCAGTACTTTGACCATGAAAATATTTTTTTATTGAACCATGGCAATTTTAAGTGCATGTATCGTGGCAATTTTAGTTTATGATGCATGGCAAGTCTAGTTTCTTAATTCTTTGGTTTATAATATGTTAAAATTGCTTTTAAATATAAAAGAAAATAGTTGAAACATATCATGGCAACTTCAGTGTAAATATCATGGCAATTCATGTGCAATAGACATGACAATCGATATGAGATCTAATTTTGAAGATCTCGTCGCGAGGGATTTAATGGTGAAACGGATCTTCAATCGGATTTTTCATTTAAGAGATAAAACATTTTAAAAAGTGAAAATCCAAAAAGATTCTCGCATGCATGCATGCGAAGACGTGGCAATCTATTTACATTAGAGACGTGTGGTGCGTCTCCTTTCCCGCCACACGTGTGGCAGTTATCGGGACCCTTACTTTTTTATGCCTGTAGTTTCTAGGTATTATAGTCCCCTTGTCTTCACGAGTTTTCGTGTTATACTACATCGAGGCTGTACACATAGGAAAAACTACAGTGTGCTATCTCTCAAGTTTTACACATGTATCCACTTCTAGCATTCAGTTGATGAGAATACATGCCTGACAGGATGAGTAAGCATGAAATGTTCAGAGAACACTAATTATATAAGATAATTTTGCAGGTCTCAACGGAGTGCTGGAAGGCTCTTCACATGATGTTGAACGCGATCGGATATGTCCCTTTCAACAGATTTATGTTTGGATTGGTAAGATTGACAAGGTTAGTGATCCTGTTTAAGCACTTGGAGAAATGGTCGAGATGTCAGAGAATTTAAACGGGATGCAGATTATCTTGTTCTTGTGCTGATCTTGTACCCCAATAATCAGTCACTCTAATTATACTGCAAACATAGACCTTGACTATTAGGGGAAGTAAGACGTTGTGTACTTATGATACTATCATGAACATTTTTTTTTTATTTCTATATGCCTTTTTAGTAACATTATTTTACTCACGGTGTTTCTCAAACATATCAGTTGGTATCTTTAATGACAGTAGGCACACTGTTGTCATTATATTTCAAATTGGGTGATTAGAGCAAACTCCCTGCAGTAATATTTGGATATTGTTTTCTTAGTGCAATAATGAATAAAATTTGCCATAACAGTAACCATAGACCGGTTGCTTCTGTTTTGCTACCACGATATTGTGCTTATTCAGGTCAAGTCTGCACAACTTATATTCCTGTTCTTAAATAATCTGCACTCTGTTCTAAATAAAATAAATTAATTTGCAGTGAAACGAAAAACCAATTAATCCTCACTGTAAGTAACTGAAATAAATGAATTCGTCTTGAAGAGAGCGCTAAGAAGGTCCTAAACCAAGTAGCTGTATTCAAGCCCCAGCTCGCCAAAGTGGTAGCCACGGTGACCAGTAGGTGTGCTCGGTGGTAGGCCTGGCCTGGTGCCTGTGAAGGCAATTGGTACGCCTCCAATTGAAGGACCCGCACACTGGAGGATGATCATCATAGAGCCAGCACAAGTGTTGGCGCCATACTGTCTCTGACTGTGCAATTTATGCTGAGCCGACACGTTCGGTTTTACCGTGATGTCTCCTGGTGCTCCTGAGTCCTAACCTGGATTGCCGTCCAAGCCTGCTTGGCCTGGGGATTCCATTGCGAACAGGCAGGGCTGGTGCGTAGATTCTAAAATAGTTTGGTCGTATGTGCTAGTTTTATGTTCTTTTTGCGCTTTCTTGTGTGGGCGCATACACCTGCCGCTGAAGCCTGAATTGCTGCTCTAGGACGACGGTCTTTAAATCGTGGATACCGGACTGATAGCTTATTGTCTTCACCATGTTAGATATCGATCAACATTTTGGGCTATACACTCCAGTCTCAGACCTGAAAAGTTGATAAAAATATCGACCAATTAACATGTGTTTGCCATGATAACTTCCAAGTGTCACCCTGATATATAGAGTGACACCTGCCGCGGCCGCCTTCCTCTTCCCGCCGCCACAGACGCCTTTCCATGGATACTGCGGGCTACTTCACCATCTGCGGTGACCCCGCTCCACCGGCCGCGCAGATCCAGTCGCGTCCTCCCGCACTCGCCGGGTGTTACCCGTTGCCGCCACCAGCGCCTCCCCAGCAGCAGCCACAAGGAGGTGTTGGAGATATGCCCTAGAGGCAATCATGTATGATGATATTTCCTATGTGTTTATGAATAAAGATAGTCCTTGGACATTATCAATCATGTGTATCAGCAAGTACGTGACTTGTTTGTGGGACTATGCATTGTGTGATGACTGTCCTAAAAGGTCCCTAGTCGAAAGGGCTGTGTGGACGCGCAGCCGACTAGACTAGCATATGAAACGGTCGATGGCTCGGTTTCACTAGCCATGGAGCATTGGATGCTAACCCGATAATATGGACTTGGAAAGGTCTGGTCGGATTCGACGTAGTCGGATCCGAGTCGAGATAAGGTCCGAGTCGGACAGACCCAACTATGAGACGCAGCGATATGTCATCTGTGAGTCTCTAGTACAACATACGTTCTATGTCCTAAGCCTGAGCTGACACATATACTCGGGATGGTGACAGACCTTCTTTGGGCCGACCAAACGCTACTCCGTAACTGGGTAGTTACAAAGGTAGGTTTCAGGCTTGTCCAGACCCATGCTGCGAGACATAGTCGAGCAAGATGGGATTTGCCCCTTCGATTAGGAGAGATATACTCTGGGCCCCTCGTGTGATCCGACCAGGATAAGCATGGCCATGCGACAAGGATTATGAGATAATCCGGATAGTGGTCGGCATCACTGGAACGAGAAAGAGGTCGGGCTAGCACAAGGATGACAGTCTCGCCTTGAGCCCAACAACATATATCGTGAGGCAAAGGGAACAGAAGTGTAACACGTTGTACAGGTTTGCCTAACCAGCTTCATAGTCTGCTTGGTGGTCGGCACGCCTTGCTAGAGGCCACTGCATGTGGACTGGTTGACCAGCCAACTAAACAATATACAGAGCTATATGCTGACACAGTGAGTGTATAATTCGTCGGTATAGAGAGTTCGAGTGAGAGGGGAGGCCCGTGAGAGATAGCAGAGAGAGAGAGAGAGAGAGAGAGAGAAAGAGCTACTCCCTCCGTTCGATAATGTAGTTCCAACATTTTTATAAAGTCAAACTTTTGAAACTTTGACCAGGTTTATAAAGAAATTACTTATATCTACAATACCAAAGAAAAATGATAGTATGAAGTAAGTACATGTTGTGATGAATCTAACGATCGTTCCAGATGTAAATGTTTTTCTCCACATATACCTGGTCAAACTTTTTTGAGGTTTGACTTTTCAAAACATCCATATGCTTATGGACGTGACAGAGTCCCTAACTAGAGAGAGAGAGAGAGAGAGAGAGAGAGAGAGAGAGAGAGTGGGTGAGGGAGTCCTGGATTAGGGGGTGTCCGGATGACCGGACTCCTGAACTATGAAGATACAAGATTGAAGACTTCGTCCCGTGTCCGGATGGGACTTTCCTTGGCGTGGAAGGCAAGCTTGGAGATACAGATATGTAGATCTCCTCCCATTATAACCAACTCTGTGTAACCCTAGCCCTCTCCGGTGTCTATATAAACCGGAGGGTTTTAGTCCGTAGGACGAACAACAATCATACCATAGGCTAGCTTCTAGGGTTTAGCCTCTCTGATCTCGTGGTAGATCTACTCTTGTACTACCCATATCATCAATATTAATCAAGCAGGAGTAGGGTTTTACCTCCATCGAGAGGGCCCGAACCTGGGTAAAAACATCGTGTCCCTTGTCTCCTGTTACCATCCGCCTAGAC